TCTATACTACTTTAAAAAGCATGAATGGCCTCAAGAATATTTTTGGAATCTTCTAAGGACAAAATTTATCCCTCTATATTTAAATTTATTGATAAAAAAATGAGGGCAAATAGGGTAATTGGTTCTTGATATTAAATGAGTTGAAAAGAGGTAATTTAAAGATATCCAATTCATTCAATTCTCTCTCATTAAATCCAACATTTAAGTTATTAATTTGCATTCATGTTCATTGAATCATATATTTAAGTCAATTTTGTTTCTTCTCGTCATTAAATTCTATTAATTAAATCCATACTTAATAAATCAACAATTACAATAACATAGAAGCTTATACTTTTAAAATCTACCTAGCAAAAATAGTGTTTTCATCTAGGTGGTGGTAAGAAATTAAATCATTTTGGGTCAAATGGGTTAATCCATGTTGCCACGACTAAATAATAAAATTAAAAAATAGATAAAATAAAAATTAAAAATTAAAAAAAAATGGGAACATTTTTAACATACATATTAAACAATAATAAGTATGATAAATAAGAAATGTTTTTATTAATGATGGAAATTGATGTAAAATTTAAAATCAATTGGAAATAAAAATATTTTCCTATTCTCTCTCGTTAAATCCTATATTTAAGATATATTTTTCTCATCATTAAATTCTTGTAATTAAATCCATAATATAAATTTTAATAGTATAAAAATGAATATTTTGAAAAGTAATTTGAAAACAAAACAATTTTCTTCCCTCCTAGTGGTGGGCAAGCAATTCGACCATTTGGAGTCAAATGGATTAATAAATAATGCTATAATTAAATAATAAAAAATTAAAATAAATAACTATGAAATGTAAGTAGTATTTTTATTAATGATAAAAATGGAATTCCAAATTCAAAATCTTTCTAGAAATTAAATGATGTGATAGTAAAATAATAAAATTTTTAATAATAGAAAATACAAAGAATCACAAAACTAAAAAAAGATAGACAAAATTTTGGGCACGTATCTAATGTTATATATTTATAAAAAATAAAATATTGGGTACATCTCTAATATTGCACATTCATTATATTAATAAGTTTTATACATAAGAAATAATTTTATCAATGATGAAAATGTAATACAAAATTTAATGTCAACCTAGAAATCAAACAATTTTTATTTTTAGACGGTGGATTAGTGGTTTGAGTTAAATGATACCATAGACAAACAAAAATTAAGTGTAAAAAGTAAAAAATATTTTATATAATGTAAATGAAATATATAATTTAAAGGGAAAATTATTGTCAAAGTCAGTTGTACATTTWAAATTAGGTTGCAGGTTGGTATAGAAACYAACAAAACTTTGACAATTGGCTTTACATTTCAAATTATAAAAACCTTCGCCATGTCATCAAAGGCTTATGTGGCTGTTGCCAACATGGGACTTTTAGTCCATGTTGGACACAACAAAAAACCTATATCGAAAATAGGTTTTCAGTCTCTCCCACTCCCTCTGTCTCTCGATCTCCCTCCCTTGTCTCTCACTCTCATAGTCATCTCTCAATCTTCCACTCTCTTAGATTCGGTCTGTAGCCAAATCAAAACCTCTCTCTCTCTATTGTTCTCCCTCAATATTTCTCAATCTTCTCCCTCACTCTCCCTCTCGGTCAATATTTCCTTCTCCCTCAATCTCTATCGTTCTCCAGTTGATGTAAATTTCATAGCCAAGAGCTTTTTGTGAATTTTTATCAAAATGGTGTAATAATTTTTGAACCATACCAAGTTGGTCTCATGTTCTTTTATACGATCTGGTTAATACCATATAAGTGTGTAAGAAAATAAAACAAATGAGAGAGGGAGCGGGAGAGAAAATGAAGGAGAATKATATAAATTAAGGGAGAAGGAGAGATCGACCAAGAAAGAGAATGAGAGAGATTGAGGGAGAACGATAGGTAGAGAGAGGGGATGAGATAAATTGATATAGAGAACGGAGATACAAAAACAAAAAAAACCATTTTTATTTATTTTCAAATCAAATAGTCGTTGAACAGATAAAGATGACTGTGGGTGAGATGGTGTCAGGGGGGGGAGAGAGATAGAGTGAAAACCTTTTTTTTTTTTATATATTTTCCAATCACCCAACATTAAAGGGCAATTTCAGTATAAGCTTTTTTGTTGTGTCCAACATGGATTAAGAGTTCCATGTTGACAATAGCCACATAAGCGTCCGATGACATGGTGAGGGTTTTCATAATTTGAAATGTAGAGTTGGTTGTCAAAGTTATGTTGGTTTATGGACCAACTTGTAGCCTAATTTTAAATGTACAACCTCGACTATAATTTTCCCTAATTTAAAACTAATCCAAAAGCAATGCTATTTTCTTATCTAGATGGTGGGTCAATGATCCAACTTTTCCAAGAAACCCATGGTGTCATAATTGAATAACAAATATTTAAGTGTATTTTTAATCATATTGTTACTTTTGTTAATTTTCAATTTCTATCTTAACTATGATATATCTAAAATTTAAGTAATTAATATGAAATTTTTTTTTGCACGTGCAACGCATGTGCTTAATTACTAGTTAACTTTATAAGAACGACAAAAGATATTCTAAAGGAAAAGAAAGAGAATTTAAAGTTGAAGCTTTCATTTGAGCAATTGATATGATCATATGACGGGCAAATTTGGAAAATAAATCAACTTCAGAAAAAGAGATTGAAAGGGTTTGGGGTAAGGATTCATATGTATAGAAGACTTGGAAAATAAACATATTGGTCAMAGTAACTATATGGATATTTTCGACATTTTTTATGCCTCTTTTTAGAGGATTCTAATAGAGGGGGTCTACTTTTAATTATGTCTAAAAATTTAGGGGAGGTTTCAACAATTTATGCTCTTATTTATAAAATATAAAAATATATTAAAATTTTGAACTTTCAAGCTAAACTTGATTTTGTAAAGTATTTAATTGAATCAAATTAAAATAAAAAAAAATAGAATTTGAATCAAACTTTAATTTGAATATAGAAGTATGTTAGTGGAACAACGAATAAAAGGTTGTGGAATTTTTATTATATAATTGATTATCAAATGGAGTAAGATGTTTTCTTAATTGTTATTGCAATATTGAATTTGTCATCTATCCCTTCAGCTTTTCATTATTTTTTATATTGTTGAATTGTTGATTTTTGTAATGGAAATAAAAAAAGAAAAAATAAAATAATACGGGTCAGACCGGCCCGACCCAAGGCCTACGAGCCTCATGCCCAGGCTTGTGTAGTTGTGAAAATGTCACATTCGGCTAATCCGAATTAGCCTAAGGTCGGGACGAGTTGGTTCGATTGCACCGGTCTTTCTTTTTTCCTACCCGAATTCAGAAACCAATCTTCCGTAATTTCGTCAACAACTATGGATGACTTGGTCTTGGAGTCCATCAGTCTATATAAGAAAATAAGATCCATCTCTGTTATTCGTTCTGTTCTTTCTCTCATCCGCGAACGAGGATCACAGTCTCTCCCTCCACTCTGAATCCACCCCTACCCCATCCCCCTCAAAAAATAGCAAAAAACAAAATTTTCGATCAATCAAAAACCCTAATTTCCAAAAACCCAAAGAATTCTCGATCGATAACCCCCCTCGTTCCGTCGTGGTAAGTCTCATCCAATCGCTTACACCATTCAATCTGGTTCTTTTTTCTCCGAAATCAACCTCTCAATTTCCACCCGTCTCTGTCGTTGCTCATTGTCTCTCAAGTAATTCTTGCAAATTACGATCGAATGAGCATTAACTGAATAAAATCAATTTCCTTATTTGTTTTTCCGGAGATTAATTTGATAAAGAGGACAAACTAACCTCTGTAAATCTAAAATATCCACGCTCTTAACTCTTAAGGGAATAAGGGTTTAAGGGGTCAGATTCTAGGCTTTTAGATTGCTCGAACCGCCATGGACGACCTTGAAAAGGCTATACTGATCAGCTTCGATGAGTCCGGTACGATAGATCCGGTTCTAAAATCCCAAGCTGCTGCTTACTGTAGCCAGGTGAAAGGGGTCCCGTCGATCTGTCGTGTTTGTATAGAACGCCTGTGTTACACTAGTTTTGTTCAGGTGAAGTTCTGGTGCTTGCAGGCTCTTCATGAGGCTCTGCGTCTCCGGTACTCGTCGATGAGTCCGGGCGAGAAAGCTTTCATTAGGAAGTCCTTGTTTTCGGTTGCTTGTTTTGGGGGTTTAGATGATAAGAACTCGGCTAGGGTTTTAGAGGGTCCAGCATTCGTGAAGAACAAGTTGGCTCAGGTTTTGGTGACTCTTATTTGCCTGGAGTATCCGTTGGTTTGGTCGTCTGTGTTTATTGATTTTGTCCTGAAGTTGAGTAAGGGTGCGCCCGTCATTGATATGTTTTGCCGGGTTTTGAATACACTGGATGATGAGTTGATCAGCTTGGATTATCCGCGTAGTGCCGAGGAAGTGGCTGTGGCTGGGAGGGTCAAGGATGCAATGAGGCAACAATGCGTTCCCCATATTGTTCGGGCTTGGTACGACATTGTGTTGTTGTACCGGAATTCTGACACAGAGCTATGCATTAGTGTGTTGGATTGTATGAGGAGATACGTATCTTGGATTGATATAGGATTGATTGCTAACGACGCTTTTGTTCCATTGTTGTTTGAACTCATCTTGGTTGAGGGGCTACCGGAACAGATCAGGGTTGCTGCTGCTGGTTGTGTTCTAGCAGTAATTTCGAAACGGATGGACCCGCAGGCTAAGCTATCGCTTTTGCGGAGCCTTCAAATTAATCGGATTTTTAGTTTGGTGGCTGAGAATGTGGATTCAGAATTGGTTTCAAAGTTGGCAGATTTGCTTACGGGCTATGCGGCTGAGGCCTTGGATTGTTTCAAGCGTCTAGATTCGGAAGATGTCAGGAGGGTATCCATGGAGCTTTTGGATGAAGTGTTGCCCACTGTCTTCTTTATCATGCGAAACTGTGAATTAGATACGACATTCAGTACCGTTCAGTTTCTTTCCGGCTATGTTGCCTCCATGAAGAATCTTTCACCACTTAGGGAGAACCAAGTGCTTCCTGTGGGTCAGATATTGGAGATCATACGTACACAGATATGCTATGATCGTGCATACCGAGATAACCTTGATACGCTGGATAAGATTGGGATAGAAGAAGAAGATCGGATGATGGAGCATCGCAAAGATTTTTTTGTGTTGCTTCGAAGTGTGGGCCGTGTTGCACCTGATGTTACTCAGATGTTTATTAGGAATTCGTTGGCTAGTGCCTTAATATCTACCTCAGAGGGGAATGTTGAAGAGGTAGAGGCTGCACTTTCTCTTTTCTATGTCCTTGGAGAGTCTATAAGTGATGAGGGTATACGATCTGGAAGTGGACTCTTGAAGGAATTGATGCCAATGCTCTTATCTGCAAGGTTCTCTTGCTATTATAATCGTCTTGTTGCACTTGTATACTTGGAGACTATAACCAGATATGTCAAGTTTTTTCAGGAGAACACCGAGTACATACCAGCAGTGCTGGCTGTTTTTCTTGATGAAAGGGGTATACACCACCCAAATCTCAATGTGAGAAGAAGGGCAAGTTATTTCTTCATGAGAGTTGTAAAACTGCTGAAAGCAAAACTTATACCTTTCATAGAGACAATTTTGCAGGTACCCAGGGTCTCACCCCTCTCATTCTCTCTCAAATGTTTCTCTAATCTCTAGCACTTAGCATTTATAACCCTAATCCTTCTAGTTACTGTCTAGCATCTACAATTCCGCATTTTAAGTTATCAAGCATTTGTTTTCAGTTTCTTCATTTATTTTTGTTTCTTCTTCATTTTTTATGTTAACTGGTTGCCAGAGCCTGCAAGACACTGTGGCTCAATTTACGCGTTTAGATTGGTCATTGAAAGAACTGAAGTTCTCAGGATCTGAAGATGGAAGTCACATATTTGAGGTATGATTCTGTTTTCTTGTGGTGTATAAGCTACTTCATAAGTTCATATATCCAAATTGTGGAGTGTGAAAGAATTTTTAGCTGAAGGATGAGGTGCATTATTTCCTGAGCTAACAGGATTCAGTTTGTGTCAACATTTTGCAGGCAATTGGACTATTAATTGGGATGGAAGACGTACCATCAGAAAAACAATCTGAATACCTGACCTCATTATTGACTCCTCTTTGTCAACAGGTTACAGTGCAATTGTGTAATTTGTGTCTGTTGACTATGAGGAATATAGGAGCTTTTCTTTTTCTTTTTCTTCATTATCCATTTCCGTAATGCATGGAGTTGTTTGGACTCTGCATATTAACCAATATGTAATTGAAGGGTCTGGAATATTTTATGTCAAACCAGGTTGAAATGCTGCTTTTGGATGCCAAAGTACAAAACATAGAGGACTGTTCCAATAAAATTGCTAAAATCCAGCAAATAGTTATGGCAATTAATGCACTTAGCAAGGTTACACTCCATCCTTCCATTTAATTTGGTATTTGTAGGGTCTACTTTGCACATAATACTTTTAGCTAGGGATGTCTGTATAATATGAATTTAATGAAATACTTTACCTTACAGTTTCAAAAAAAAAAGTATATATATACTTTGTATATTGGGAACTGAATGCCTGTCTCATCTAGGTTTGTTCTTGAAATTCTGTGGATTTCTTTCCCTCCAAATATTTCATAGGATGGTGGCTGGAATGCTGCTCCAGATCACTTTTCCCCTTTTGGTTAACTCTATAATACTCAGCTCTGCAACAATGCTTCTAATGTAGCTGGAAAGCATCCTTTCACCCTGAAAAAACCTGTAAACTCAATCCATAATGATCTGGCCACCTTGCAACGTATGAACAGGTGGTTAGCTGATTCCGCTGCTACCCCATACATCACACACTGATCATTTTCTATCTGAAACCTTTTCTATTTAGGCTGCCTCTAGTCAGGCACTTTCCCAGGGCTGCTGTCCATTTGAGGAAAGAAACCTTGGGGGGGATGTGAGAGATCCATACTCTGTAGTCTGTAGCTTGAGAAAATCATTGTCTGCAATATGATCAATCCTCCTGAAAAAGGATCTTCAGGAAAGGACCCCCAAATTATCCCAAACCCAGACTCTGTTGTTTTGAAACTCTAAAGTAAAGTATTCATTCATAAACCCAGATTTTGTTATCATTTCTGCATGTTTTGGGCATTTCATTGTTTAGTGGCCTCATCATGTCTGTCAAACCTTCTATTTTCCAGTTCAAATTTCTTCTCAGACCTGGATTCCAAATTACCTGTCAATTATGACTCTCAATTCTCAAAGCAGTTAGCCACGGGTTCATGTTTCTAGCTACCAGGAACATTGAAGGGAACTCCTCCATGAGAGGGTGGTTGCCACGCCAAGTGTCCCTCTAAAACCTCATCCTAAAACCATTTCCTACCTTGCATCTAATCCCCTATATGAACTCTCAGTAACTTTTTTCAATACCTATCTATGTTGAGCAATCATAAGAACCACTGGCTATTCTGGCCTTCTGGGATCCCAATCAAGGTTTCTCAGCCCTTGTCTACTATTCTGGGACCACAAATCATCAGCTTTTGATCTTCCAATTCCTAGTCTACACCATCTTGTAGGAGTAGAAAACTTTTCCCCAGTCTGCCACATGGATTTTGGCTTCATATTTCCACTCCCCCCAAGGAAACTCTCTAACATTCCTTTCTAGATGAAGGCCATTTTTGAAGGACTTGGAAAAGGAGCCATAAAATAAATTGGAAGAGAGGAGAGGATGCTCTTCATGAGAATGATATTCCCACCCTTAGATACCTTGAGGTCCTTGATCTCCAAGATGCCAGCCACATGTTAAACCTACCAGAATAGGTCTCAAATTACCCTTGAAGTACACTTTTCCCCTTGGTTATAATTCTTTGTCAACTATAGATTCATTTGTGTTGGTTTGGACAGTTTTCTAGAATTTTCTAATTTTGTGTTATCTATAAAAATGTATTTTAATTTTAATTATGTGTTGTAATTGTGATAGCCTTTAAAGATAGCACAATTTCTTTGTACTCACTGTTTTCTAATTCAATTGACAACCTTATCAGTAGTGTTGTAACTCATAATTCTAGTGTTCTTAGGAATTCCTTATTTGATCCTTCTTTTGATCAATTTCTTCATGTATATCTGGGTTTGACTATGATACTGGAAAGACATGATACCAGAAAAACTTATAACCAATCAACTAGTATCATAAAAAACTAACCAATCAGGTGGTATTCATCAAAATTTATGGGGGTTTTTGATTGGTCAAAGCTCTTCCTGCATCATTTCTAGCATCATAGATTTACCCTATATATTATAACCTAGTTATATGTTTTGAATGGTATTGTCTCTAATTGCAGTGAGATTAGTAAGACACCAGGTGGGAGTTCTAGTTTACAACTTACTAATTCTCCCTCTCTCTTTCAATGAAAAAAAACTGGAATCTTGGTTTCTTGCTAAAATGAGGATGCCTTGTCATCAAGGGTCAAAGTATCAATATGATACATATCCTTATTGGTGGACTTGGATATGCTTGGATATGCCAATACACACATGGTTGGGGGGTTTTAAAACTTTGGGATGATTGAAGGCATAAAAAATAAAGATCATCAGTCTTATTGTTATGCACTGATACCATTCGATATATACCAATATTTTGATCCTTACTTGTCATAGGAGCCTTGAGGTGTCTTTTAAGCTGCTATATGTTCATGAAGCAGAGACCATTAAATGGGTCCCAAAATAAAGATTTCCTACTCCAATCAGATATTAGTATGATTAACCTAAAATATGCTAAGTTGTAATATAATTGTAATTATCAAAAATTTATTATTTTCCTTTTATATTTTATATTGATTAAAAATGCTTGTTTTCCTTCTTCAAATGGGTGTGTGAAATTCCCCATGCCATTTTTATATCTCCATGTCATGTAAATAATAGAGAAGTTTCATTGACATGCCTAAATCTTATGATAATTGTAACTTGGATGCAACCCATTGGATCCTTCAATATCCCTTTTCTCCTTGCCTCTATCTATTGCTGCTGCGCCTCTCTTTATTTTTGCCCTTCCTGGATTGTTTTCAGATTTATTTCTTTCCTTGAAATCTTTAGATGTATAACTAGGTGCTAATTAGATAATCATATTGACCGGCTTTATTTTTGTTTTATTTAGGAAAGATTGTATTTGTGTTTTAATCATTAAAGAATGGTTTGCACACATACCAATATTGTTGGAATTAAAAGAATTGGTGTGATTTTTTTTTCCTGCATGGATGCTAGCCATGTTTCTGCATGAGAAGCCCTCTATTGTGGAAACCATCTTAGGGATTTGTTGTATATGTTAGATATGAAAATATGGTTTATATTAATCACACTTATGTTTGTTATTTAGGGATTCAGTGAGCGTCTTGTAACTTCTAGTCGCCCTGCAATTGGTATAATGTTCAAACAGGTTGGTCTTAGAGATCTTTTTTACTTTATATTTTTGAAGGCAGATGCTTTATCCATTATCAATGTGTACAAGTTCCTTCAAGGGTTTTTTGTATCATTATATTTTTTAGTTATTCCTTTTTCGAGAAAAAGTTAACCAGATTTCATTTAAACGTTAATTCATGGACTTTATATCAAAACAAAAAATAGTTCCTAGGCAATAATTAATGCAATGTAACATGTGAAAATGATTCTTATGGCAACCACCCTTGTTAAATGCATGAATGGTGGAGATGATTCGCACCTCTTGTCATCTATTATCAATCACGTTGATAAGATTGACCTTCATGTTTTTCTGGGTGGCTGGGTATGGCTGTAGTGCATTACTTACTTCCTACATCCTTTGTTAATGACTATTGGATCTTATCCTACTGTCCCTGCTTTTTTTCCCTCTCCTTTTTCTTTTTTTTTTTTTTGTAACTTTTAAACAGTAAGAAATATGAATCTATTAACATAATGTTTAAAGTTCTTTAATTGCTCCTCCTTGTTCTAGACACTGGACATTCTCCTTCAGATTCTTGTAGTGTTTCCAAAGAATGAGCCTTTGCGGAGTAAGGTCAGTAATATACATGGTATTCCTCTATTCAGATATTGTATTGATACAACACCACATCTAATTCTAGCGTTTTACACATGTAGGTTATATCATTTGTTCACCGCATGGTTGACACTTTAGGAGAATCTGTGTTTCCTTGCCTTCCTAAGGCATTGGAGCAATTGCTTGCTGAATGTGAGGTACAGTGAGAGTGCTTTACTTTTTTATCTGCTGAATTTCCACTATGGTAGGACTTATGACCAGATGAAAGCATCTAATTTGCATAATTAAGTTGAAGGTGCTGGATGAATGAAAATCAATCATCCTCCATTTCTTCATTTTCTTCTCCTCATGAATCTCTGTTTACATTATGACCTTTATTAAGATTTGTAGCATGTTACCTATATTTCATGTTTAGTTGTATCAATTGACTCCTTTCCCCCCTTCTGGCAGGCTAGTTATATTAGCAAGGGCAGTATGTTCCATCACTAAGTAGTAGTGGATATAGAGAAACCAATAGAAGTATATGTTATGTAAGAGGTTGTCGGTACACCATCTTTTTTTTTTAATCAGCTACATCAAATTAGAATTTGTTAATATGGAATGAGAAGAAACATTGGAAGCTTTCAAAAATTGGAAAAGGTTAAGTATAAAGGAACCACAGGCTGACCAAACTTCACTTGCAAGAAAACTGGACAATGGAGTTAGATCATTCGGGCATTGTCCAAACCAGGTCTGCTCTGTCTTCCTGTCCTTACAATCTTCTAGGCTGTTTTCTGATATGGGAATCCACTTATCCACATAATGAGCACTTCATGCCGGATGCCAAGGTCCTAGTTTCTCTTATTTGGTGTCTGAGATTTCATGGACCACATCTCTAAGGTTGTGTTTGGTTTGAAGGAAAAGGTAGGAAAATGCATAGAAGGTTTATATGGATTTCCCTACTTTTCCCTTCCTTTCCTTAGGAGAGATTAGTTTACCTTTTGTGAGGTTTGAAGATCAATTGGCTGATTGTCTTACTAAAGGTGTCTCCAAATCAAAGCTTTACAACAATTTGAACAAGCTGGGCATGACAAATATCTATGCTCAGCTTGAGGGGGAGTGTTGAGAGTGTAAGGGCATTTATGTCCTTTCATATTTTTTTTTTGTATTTGGGTGCCTATTCAAGGGCCCATTTGTAATTTTCTTCAATATGTTAAGTAAAAGATTTTAGAGTGTGAACAGTAACACACCACGGCAAAAACCTCTTCTTCTTCTTATTTCTGAATACTTCAACTCTTTTGTTCTAGTAGGAAATTGTATCGAATGATATTGTTTGATTATCAGATTTATTTTTATCCACTACCATCTAAGAGGACTCAGAAGTACATGCAAACTATTATGGGGAATGTGCCCTTCTGCAATAAAATTTGTATGGAGTGAAAGGAATGCATGAGATTTTGGGAGCAAAGCAAGCTCAGAGGATGTTAAGGAGATTGACAGGCACTTCCAAAAGCCGTTTTGAGGGGTCCTCCTGTACAGTTCTTTTTTTTTGATTCAGATACTCTTTTTTGTAAACAGCAATTTAAATCAAATCTAGCTTGTATATTCCCAATGTATGGCTCCTTGATGTACATTGCTGTATTTTTGTTCTTATATAAAAACTATCGGTTTAAAGTTTGAAGAGATTGTTTTGTTATGTATGCCTACATTTCTTTACAGACTAGAGAAAGAGCCATTTTGTTGATTTGAACTAGTAGAACGATAATACTTTTTATAACTTGGGTTGGCAATATATTTTTCTACAGATTACTTATAAGTTTCTTGTGCCTATGAAATCAACTATTTGGTTTTGATTCTGGAAACTTCATGATGTATTGCAGCCAAAAGAAATGGTAGGTTTTCTCATGTTAATCAATCAGCTTATTTGCAAATTCAATACCTTGGTGGGGGGCATACTGGAGGAAATATTTCCCACTATTGCAAGCAGGGTCCTTCATATTCTACCAAGGGATGCATTTCCTTCAGGACCTGGATGTAATACTGAGGTATGCTATTAAATTATATTTTTATGAATTGCAATTAAGTTATTCAGTAAGGCATAACTCCATAGAAGATATATTTTTTATAATAAAATAAAAATTCATTGGAAAAGAAAAAAATATATGGATAGAGAACTAAGAATGACCAAAGGTGGAGATGTACAAGTTACTCTCACCTCTCCCAACCAAAAGCCAATACTCCCTACCAAATGCACCACCTCCCAACATACTTTAACAAATCCATAGAAAAGTGAAAGCACCCCTGTCCACCACATTCCACTCTCATCATCTGACAATAACACCAATAAGAATCATTGATCATTAGAGTGCAACGTATCTTTCTCAAGTTACTACTTACTAGTGCTCTTATCCTTCATCATAGATTCTTCATTTAACACCTCTGAATCCCACTGCTATTAGGTTTGAAAATATCTCTGATAGTCTCCCCTTTTGAACAAAACTCCACTCTCAATCTGCCTATATGAATCTCAATGCATTCCTCCACCCTAGAGTCTACATCAACCTCAACTTCTTTCTTTCAGGACATCATGTCTTACTGGCATCATCTCATTATATACACAGGGTTACAGAATTAGAAACCTGAGCTTCCAAGGCCTTAACCCAGTTTTACTCATCATGCTCTTCAACTTACAAGTTTCTCTTAACCTATGGAAGATAAATTCCAGCACCATCTACTGATCTACATAGTCTACATTCAAACTAATTTCTTTCTTCAACTACTCCAACCCCTCCAATTTGAGTAGAATTTTTTTTCATTGAGAATGCTGATACCACAAGATTCATTACCTTTTTGCCAGATCTACTCTTTCTACTGAAAGATAGATATATATAAAAACATTATACATACATTTATATACATATTACAATTTACAAAATGCCATTGTACATTCGTTGTCAAAGTCACAGCAGTCATCTCCAAGCCAACATACCTACGGACCATCCTTTCATCTCAATAATCTCCAACTTTACATCTTTCTGCCTCCTTATGTTACCTCTTTCCAAACTACTTAATGGACTCTGAAGATGTTGATTTAAGACTTTTTATCCTCTCCTCTTCTAATTTTAAAAAAGCACTTCTCTAGCTTGTTCCTCATCTCCTAAAAGAAGACCCATCCCTAATTTCTTTCCTACCTCTATTTCTGTATCAACCGCTTTGTTAAGATTCACATACTTAACTTTTACCAACTACAGCAGTCACCTTTATATTCCTCCTCCATGTCCTCCAACCCATACATTGTCAACAGTTGGTATAGCTCTAGACTTCACATCTCTTCTTCCTTTCCAACTGCACTTCACCTTAATTCCCAAATCCACACTATGCCCTGCACTTCTGACATTTAGTGGGGTTGTAGAGGGAAAATCCACCAAATTTTCTTGACAACTCCAATTGTTTAACATACCATAAAATTACTAATAGTTAATGGCGTTGCTGATTTTTCACTCTCTTTGTTGTTTAACATACCAAACTTTCTTGACAACTTCTCTTTAGTAGATCCTTTCTTTGGGGAAAGGAAGAAGAGAATGTGGTGCCATTTATTAAAGGTTAAACTTTACTTCTCTATGATCTCTCACCTATTCCAGAGGCCAGTTATTTGACACTAGAAGTTGGTCTGATATAATCTGCATTTGGAACAAAAATAGTAATGCTTTTCTATTTGCAAACTAAGATTTTCTGTATTGTTTTGTAGGAAATCCGTCAACTGCAGGAGCTTCAGAGATCATTGTACACATTTCTTCATGTAATGACTACTCATGACCTGTCTTCAATATTCCTTGCTCCAAAAAGCAGGGGCTACTTGGAGCAAATAATGCAGTTACTCTTGTACACCTCCTGCAATCACAAGGATATTCTTGTGAGAAAGGTGCTTATTATAGTTGTTACTCATTACAATTTGATTTCATGGTGTGTACATGGTTCTATTCATCTATTGAACTAAAACCTAACTTCTTCACTATCTCCACTACTCAGGCATGTGTGCAAATTTTTATTAGACTGATTAAAGACTGGTGTGCCAGACCTAATGTTGAAGAAAGGGTAAGCTTCTTTTTATGGTCTTTTTGTTTTGTTATTGCCCTTTCTTTTGGTTTCAAGCTAAGCTGATGAGAATTTCTTAGGTACCTGGTTTCCAAAATTTTATAATTGAGACATTTGCAACGAACTGTTGCTTGTACAGCGTGCTTGACAAGTCTTTTGAGTTCCGTGATGCCAACACTGTAAGATCTTATGCTATATATTAGTCTACAACTTCTCTGTGTTTAGCTGAACACTTGATACTTATTTTATCTCATAATGACCCATGATTGATTTTTCATGATAAACTAAAATCATAAGATTTCTTCTGTATAACAGTAACATGTGTAGCTTTGATACAGACACAGACACAGACACATGTAGATGGGAGCAACATTTCCAATGTAGTGTCACAGTGCATGCATATTTGACGGCATTGTCAATGTATACCGACTCTAAATGCTTATAAAAATACATATACTGACTGAAGATCTATCGAAAAACATATACAGACTGTAAAAGCAGAATCTAATCTCAATGTAGCTCGTTTCTTTCATGTTCTACCTTCTGTCTACTTCCATTTGAAACTTGCATTGCATGTTTCAACAGTGTAAGCATGCCTATATAAGATTAAATTATCTATACAGCAGTTGGATCTGTTTTTGCTGTAGGTACATGCATATGTTGAATAAGACTGGTTGGTAAGATTCTGATCTAAGTGTTAGTGTAATCTCACCAAATAGAGTTCTGGATGGTCAATTTTTCTCCCCTGAAGTTCTAGTGCTAGTTTATACCTAACAGGTATGAAAATATGGATCTGGAATTTCCCAAAAAAGGGAAAATTTTGGATATGATCCTAAAGGATTCCCTACCTATTTTTTTTTTTTAGAAAATTAAGAGAGCAATTTAAAAAAAAATATATTTTTTTACCAGGAAGGCCTAAGCCCCAAAAATGACTCTAGTTATGGTCTAATTAGGGTAGATCCCGATCAGGGTATGAGAGTGGAAGGGGTTAGGCACTAACCCTCATGTGGGAGAAATTCCAGCTTCTACTTGGATCCAAAGAGCTCTAAAATGAAAGATAAGAGTGCTTGATTTAATCGGAATGGTCTCCTGAGTTTTTTCAACTCCTGAAAAAGCCAAAGGCTAAACTTAGGAAGTGCTTGATTTAATTGAAATGGGCTCCTGAGATTCCCACAAACAATTTTGTACTCTAGCCTAACTGCAAATTCATGTGAAATTTGGAAAAAATGCAATATTTGCAAATTTTATGAAAACATGCAATTTATGCAAACTTAAAGAAAAATCAACAAAAATCAGGATTTTTAGATCTATGGTTAGTGGATGAAAATATGATGCATGAGCATACTATTGAATGAAAATGATGCATGGGCATGTTAATAATCCAAACAAATCACATTAATTGTTCTACCACGTCCATTGCTTGTGATAAATAGTAAAAATGTCCAATTATTAGAAAAGTAACTAATTCAAGGTTGACAATATGGCAATCCGCACATTATTTTATCTATCTAAGCATGCTGGGAATCGAGAAACTATCTATAGAAGAATTACAAAAGCCAACCTGACAATATGACCTACTTGTCCTATGACAGAAAAATGACCAAGTATAAAAAAATGCAACTCTAGCCTATTTTAACATGAAATTTCTTATGAAAATTCAGTTCAAAGGGCCTCAGTTGACCATCATCATGGCATTAATTATATAAACAGAATTAAGAGAGAAAAACATTGGGAGTCATGTAATAAAATTAATCAAACTTCAAACACCCAGACGGCTCCAAATGATGATGCTATGAATGGCTATATCATTTATCTATCTGGCTGAAACAGGAGAAGCCATCTAGACAGGCTCCGAATGGCCTTGTTTAGGGAATCTCTTTTCTAAATTCTAATGTTAATTATTAAAARGGAATCCTTTCTTTATATCGGCTTCCTTTTTGTATAGATCATTGCAGCATTTATGTTTTAGATATCTTTTACCAATAAAATTGTTTTGGATATCTTGTTTATCAGGAAAAACAATCATGTGATTGATTGTTCATGGTGCTAGTTTTATGGATGATTTTCTGCTGTGCATCTTAGAAGTAGTTATACATGAAGTCATTGCTTACGCAGAATGTTTCTCTATATTAATTTAGATATTGTTTCTTTTTCCCGATTCTGAGTGGCAGCTTGTTCTATTTGGAGAAATTGTGGTGGCGCAAAAGGTCATGTATGAAAAGTTTGGTGATAATTTTCTCATTCACTTCTTGTCCAAAGGTTTTCCGAGTGCGCACTGCCCACAGGATTTGGCTGAGCAATACTGTCAAAAATTGCAGGTATACGAAACAGAAATATTCYGTGTATAATAGTAACATAATCTGTACTGATAAAAAAAATAGTAACAGAATCAGTAGCTGCTTGCTTCATTTGTGTGGTGTGGACACCTTGTTCCCGAACTTGGGAATTACTTGCAGCTGCCTTGCTGTAAGTCTTGTTATCACAGGATCAAATAAACACTTTTTTGGGGGTAGTACAAAGTAGGTAACGTTAGTTGGGTGGTAGGCTGAGCCCACAAACCTAGCTATAGTCGAACTATTGTTCATTGAACGTTGTCAGAAATCCAACTTTGTATGTGGCATTGAAGAGTTTAAGAGGCCATTTTATGCTTTGTTCATTTACTAGGATGTCAGTTGATGGGCATGGTAAGAAATTGCCAACTGTCAACTGTCAGAAATAAATAGTTGGATCAATGAGCATAACCACCAATTACTTGTGTATGGGCATGTATATTCTCCTTGACCAGCTATTGCACTAGTTCGAGTTAGTTAACTACTAGAATGTAGTTGACTCAGGAAACAACCTGCATTGTAACCAGTTTAATATGGTTGAACAGATCCAACTTAGATATTATTTCCTTCTAATTTGCTGACCTATGTTCTTAAATTTCCATCACTTTGCCTACAGGATAGTGATATCAAGGCACTGAAATCATTCTATCAGTCACTCATTGAGAATTTGAGACAACAACAGAATGGAAGCCTTGTCTTCAGATAGCATTGTCGTGGTGTGTTTTCATTGGATTACAAAGTATTTGTTTGATACTCTGATTCTTGGATTCTTCAGAGGTGTCGGTACTTTTAGTTTTTAGTACAGAGGTGGGCAATACATCTTATTTATTAGTCTATGGTGTTTAATAACCTTTTTTTTTTCCTGGGGTTTTCTTTTGCCATTCTCATCTTGGAGGATATTGCAGGGTGTTATTACTTTCTATGTATATAGTTCATGCGGCCATCCTATGGACAGAGAGGTATGTCTAATTTCTTATTATCCCTTTCTGAAGTTGAGATGAATCATGAAACTGGCTTCTGCCTAGCCTGAGCTAGATTTTGATCAACCACCTAATGGTTGGCGTTTGTTTATTTTGACCAACAGGTGTAAATTTCCGGGAACATCTGAATAGGAAGAAATGGGGGGAACAACCCATTCAATGTATAGAAATATGATATAGTTGAGGTTTCAGCAAGAAGGTCGTTTGCAGTTCATTTTGGCTTAGGAAATCATTTTTTCCCCTTCATATTTATAGTCTAGTTTGGGACTCTGATGCCTGAGTAATTTTTTGTTCAAGCAACCATTTAGGAGTTGGGTCTTCGTATGGGAGATGGAAAGATAAGAAAGAATGTCAATTTCTACGTTGCAGTTGTCGCATTCATGTTTTATATTATAATATAATTTCTTATTGGTTTTTACTGGGGGCTGAAACACACACAAAAAAAAAAAAAAAGAAAAAAGAAAATGCTCAATGGGAGCAGCCAGATGTAAGCTCTCCAGGAGTTGTTTAATAGTTCTGTCAATGGGATGGTTCTACCCGACTGGTTGTTTCGAAATTCATGTTTGTTCCGAACTGATTATTGTGTTAATAATACACAAGGGTTTCTTTTATTTTTCTTGTATATTTTTTTTTATGTTTAGAAGGGTAGATTTCATAGACAATGTATAAGATAATTTTAGTTAAAAACACTTGGCATTTATTAACATATATAAATAATTTTTTGTTGTTTACTGTCATTTTTAACTTATGAAAAATCAGTTTTTAATTTGATATAGTATAATTGAATGATCTATTGGGTCAGAGCCGATTATCCCAATTATTGATCGGGATGGTTCTGGGTCTATCATTTTGTCCCGATTAATAATCTCAGTTTGGGACCGACATCCCGTCCCCACCCAGACCCAATCTATTGACAACCCTACTGCTTAGGATCCCGAGTGATCTGTCAGTCAAGATCTGCTCGAAACATGAGTATCATCACATGGAAATGTTCTTCAATGTATGATTTTTTATTCTAAAAACAAAATGAATTGCCAATGTTCTGAAGCAATCCAAAAGGTTTTCTTTCCCTTTGATTGTACCCCAAAAAAAATCCATAATAAAGGGTTTAAATTTTGGAAGGTTTGGATTGAGGAAAAAAAACCGACACATAATTCATGTTGGGCCTTAGTCTAGTTATGGGCTCCAGTCCTAGGGTGAAATGTGTGGACATGGTTCATATTGGAACGACGGGTTAGAACGTTTTTTGGCTGGGGGATCTCAACTCAAGGAAAGTGTATTTATTGGGTTTTGATTAGATAGAGGCAGGCAGGAGTGAAGAGTATATGGTTTCCGTCGTCTTTATGTTTCTTGCCACTTGCCAGGCCTCAGTTACGGGAATCGGGAAGTGAGAGAGCCTTGGAAACACAACTGACTACTTTGAGGATAAAAATCTCACAAGTTGTGGAATCCCTACAGGCTACAACCGCTGGTATCCATTCGATATTCCATGTTGTTCCTGTTTACCCATTTAGTTTTTGTGTTATGTCGCTGACTCGCTATTATGAATTGAGAGCCATTCACTTGAGAGCAAGTGGAAGTACGGTTATGATCTCTAATGATCCAAAGTATGGAAGAGTGCAGAAGATGAGACCTTTTTTACCGAGTGTGTCTCCGGATCGGCAATTTTTCAGTGTTGTGCTTAATATATCATACCTTTCTGGAATCATAGTTTTACCATGTTTAATACTAAGCTTTAAAGTCTATTGTAATTTGTAACATAAAATGAACTTCCATACTGGATGGATTATGATGAATACTAGCTGATTAGTGAGTAGCTGTCACTTTTTTATGGGTTCATGCATTTCTCATATCATAATGGAACTTGTCCAAATTAAAAGATCATGTATATACTTATAACAAGATATGGAGGGCCATAGAGTCTTAAAGGGTAAAATTTATCACAAAGATCAAATTTATGATGCCAGAGAGGTATGATAGTGGAAGTGCTTTGACCAATTAAATCCCCCTTTCCCTTTGGATTTTGATGAATACCACCTGATTGCTACCATATTGGTTGATTGGTTATATGTTTTTCTGGTATAAACCTTTTTTAGAAAAAAGGGTACGAATCGCATGGTTTTGTTGTAGGCAGTTTATTAAGACCAAGCCAATCCAATATACAAACTCCACAGGCCCAAACGATATATATTTTTCAGCAGTACGTTCGTGTATCTCTGTTCCACTGTGCATTTATATAGATCTCTTGTAGAAGTGGTGGTCTTAAGTATAGCAAACGATAAAAAAATAAAAGAAGCCATTAGCCAATCTTGGTTCCAGCTATCCGGGTGTTGGGAGTTGAGAGGGGGAGATTGGATTTCCACCTAAGTACCTAACCATTCGCATTTTTTTTCCTCACATAGTGAATGCTTACAAGTGTTTTGTTTTTCTAGAAGGGTCAATCAGAAGAGTTGCACCCACAAATTAAACTATCCCTAAATCTCTATACCAATCGGATATATTAAATTTCCTTGACTGTCCATTCCAAAAATTGAAAATAGGTTGAGGTAAGGTTCATCATTCTTTTTTTTTTTTTTTTTTCCGCTACTAAACTTATTTTAATTGATAGATGAGGTAGGGTTGATCATTAATGCATGGTGTTATGCTGCCAAATTCCAATAGCGAATTGCTTCCATTCAACCCTATTAACTTGTCACTAATTGGTGCTTCCTCAACGTAATGAGCCGTGGCTGCTGGGTTGGTCATGGGTAGAGCGGCCTGGTCGTCTCTGAATTGACCACCCGGTTCATTCAAACAATAAAGAGTCAATATCGTATGCACAAAATAGTAAATATATCTATATACTTAATTAAGAAGAAACTTGAAACGATTATTAAATGACAGAGCACAAAGGCACAAAGATGATTATTTAACAATACTTTGACCAAGTCAACAATTTGGAAAGCCCAGTTATTTCAATAATCACAGTTGCCACAGGTACAGTAGTCCAAACAGTTGGAGTGTTGGATCCAATATCCAATCGGAGCCTGAAAACACTGATATTACCTGTTTCTTTATTTCTTTTCACAACTCAGAAGGGCCGCACCAACACATGCCCATGCCCTCAGTACTTCACTACCTCAAACTCAAAGTCAACTTCCATTCTCCAACATGGGGATATTACTTCATGGCAGGCGCCACCCTTCCAACTAAGTGTAAAAGATAGCCAGCAAGGCAATGGAAGTTATTTTAAATTAAAAACTCCCCAAAAAACGACTAGATCGCTTATGTGACACAACTCCAAAGCTTTTAGGCTGACAGATTTTAGGGTTCTTCAAATCTTTTTTTTTTTTTTTTCTTTCTTTTTCCCCCTATTTCTAAGTGATCCGACTACGACTAGTAAACTTGTTCTATATGATCATATATTGTTGTCTCTGTCCTCCACCCTAACCCAACCCCATCTCAAATCGGGCACTCATTTTTCAACCCTAACCCTAATAAGTAACTAACCAAATGTCTTGGGTTAGGTGATCGGATTAGGCTTAATTGAGCACAATCAAGTTGCAAACCCCTAACATCCTGCACTGTTTTTCTTCTTCATATAAACCTTTTATTACGTCAAACCAAATCTCCGTCAGTAATTTAGAAATACTATACTAAATCTTCTAAGACACTGAATTGTCAATCTAGCTGTTAATGTGCCCTTGTCCTCTCTACTTTAATTTGAGAGCTTGAGTTTCTTCTACCTCCTTGCCTGATTGGCATCTTCGCTCCCGCCCCAATAAAAGAAAATCTACGTTCGTTATGTATGCTATTGGGGGGGCACACAAGACAAGGGGCCTAGACTCAAGAAGCTTCCGTACCATCTTAACTGTCAAAATCAGAGTATAACAAAGAAAATAAGGATATATTATTAAGAGACAACTATGAAAGAAAAAAAATATTAGAAATATCACCAATGAATCTTATTGAAACCCAGCCAATTACGTCTTTAGAATTAGAAGTTTTCTGATTAATATCTTTCTTCTAGAAGGATGACTTCATTGTTCTTGAAATTAATGTACCATATTAAGATACTCCTTAATTTTCTTTTTTCTTTTTTTTTTTTT